TGTCTCCTTGACTGAAAACCTATCTCCGTATGCATCATTACAGTCATAATTGTCCAGTAATATGCATCAATATATCTGGCAAGCCCCGAAGACAAAGACACTACCTATAGGTAGTGCACTAAGCAGCACATTGAAGAAAATTTATAAACAGTATGTTGTAATAGTCTGATCTTATTTCCCATCACCCATGCTTTCCAAAGCCGGTATGGAAAATTGTTGAAAAGAACAACACTTGGAAAAACAAGGGGTTGAAGCTCGGAGAACTATTTTTCGAGTTTTTTATCAGAATAATCATTTCATTTGATTGAGAGATCTTCAATTAGCAACTACGTGGGGACTTAGTCACATTGCCAAACAAGCTTGACTGGAATCCTCAAGAGAAAAGAAAACGTGGCGGCCCAAAACAGACCTGGCAACAAAGGATCATTGCAATGGCGTAAAAAGCTGAAATGACATGATTAAAAAGGCTGGTGTTCTAAGTCAAGAAAATTCGCTTTTCTTCGTCACAAGAAGTAAAATTGTTCCTTATTTCTTGGCAAGAATTGGGAATTGGCAAGAAACAATTTGACTCTCTCAGGAAAGGAAGCTCCCAGATGTCGCCAACCAACAACTTACCCGTATTAATAACTTAATAATGGATTTGCTTTGTAAATGTTATCTTTATATATTTTAACTTCAATATTAAGGTATTGTAAGAATATAGAATACTCATGATTATGATTGATTATAAGGTAAGTCTAAGACATGATCAATTTTTTTTTCAAAGTTACAGATGAAGATTGTTAGACATAATTATTACAGCTTACAACTTCTGTTAATTAACGTAGCGTTGTGAAATGTAAATTGTAAATGATGTAATAAAATCGTATTATTAAAAGTGTTAAATATAAAGTATTCTTAGTGCATATGCCTAACTTAAACTTTTTTTTAATTGCGCATTTCCCTAGATAGGGTAATTTTGATGAAAAGATGTTTTAAGTAATTTTGATAACGTAAGCCGCACCTATAAATATTACAGCTTTTAAAATTTCTTAAAAACTTATTGCAAGTCTTTTAATTAAAGTAATCTTTTGTCTCATTCTGTCGAATTGTGTGATGAAAAAAGACAGATGTGTACTTTAGTTCTGGTGTAATTAGATATATTATGTGCTGTATCCTTGGCGTGGATGAGATTAAATATAGAAAATTGAATTTTATGAAAATTGCCTTCATAACAATATAATTGACTTTTTCCTGGAAGTCGGCTTTGAAAAGGAAGTGAAAAAACGGTCGATCGAAAACGTTTCTTAGAAACGACCTTTACTTGTATTGGCCCAGAGGGAAGAAGAAAGAGAGGCAGCCTAGAATAGAAAGTTGCAAAACTTTTAGCAGCTGCATAAATTTCGCTCTATCGTACAAAGATGTTAATTATTTACAGTATTGAATAATTCATTACAATCCATTTTATATAAATTCGCCGAAAGCGCTGTGTTAGAGATAAAAGGACGTTGTTCTATTTAAATTGTGATTTTATAAATATAAATAAAGTATCTATGCCCCTAATTGGAAAGACGTTTTGCGTCTGTATCAAAGATAATTTTTTAAAGCATTTTATAACGCACAATTATTGATTGATAAAAATCGATCCTCGCCATAAGCACTAAGTCAGGCACGAGAAAGTGTGTCAGTAAATAATTAATTAAAAGAACAGCTGTAGAAAAAAATATACCAACCACGTCTTGTTACAGTAGACAATATATTTAAATTGTAATTTTAATTAAAAATTAAATTAACGTGTACCAGAAAATCAATTTTCAACCTAATCAAGAGTATTAATTGTTTAGAAAATTATTATACAAAGTGTAATAAAAGTAGATATTATTTATACAATATGTAGTTAACGAAAACCTTAAGAATAGTTAAAACATTGTCATGCCGCGCTTATACCAACTTATTACTCTGCGGCCGCGGACGCGAGCTTTATATGTAAAAAGTCAGGTGGCTTTGTGTGTGCATTTTAACTATGAATTAATTCACGAGTGGACGATTCACGGCTAGCGAAAATTTTCTTGTATTGCCACTGATTAGCATTATTTATCTATTATGTATTAACAGTTTATTGCATTAATCAGGTAACATAAATTATTAGGTATGCAACGGGCGGCATAATGGCTACCATGCGATCTCTTTCGGGCAACCTTACTAAGGAAAAATAAATAAAAACCAAGGATAAAGTAAAGAATTAATAAAAATAAAATTACATACATTAATGTAGACTGAAACATTAACAAATCCAACATCTAAAATACAATTTTAAGAAACAAAAGAAATTCTTAAGATTTACTATTGTATTTATTATGATAAAATATTTATTTATTTATGTTCTAATGCTCTGTCACATTAGATATAAATACTAATTAATATGTTGGAAAAATCACTGAAAACGTGATGTTCTACCTTAACCGTATTAGTTAGAGACTTCCGTTATAAATAAACCTTGGAAAGACCAAAACTGGTCTCATTTAAAGGGCGCGGCACCCTAAAATTTTATGACGGCTAAGAAACTTTGACTATAATCATTCTTCAAAGGACTTGCAAACAATGGTCGAGGGATTATTTTGTTCCGTAGAGTCATTGGCTTAACGACATCTTAACTATGCTTATGAGAATTGTTTTGGTGTATTTTAAAGTTATGTAATGTTCAGCTTAATTCCGCTTCTTAAATTTCTGTTGTTCTTGTACTATTTAATGTAAATTAGATCGTTAAAGTTATATTTACGAACACAGAGATTAAATAATTTTCGTCAAATAATATCATACAAAATATATTATAACTCTAACAATAAAAGAAATCAACACGAACAACTTTTGTTGCATGGAAGAACTTTTGGACGTTTATAGAAGTCATGAAAAATAAGAAACCAGATTGGTAATTAAAAGAAAGCTTTCCAATACGTGTATACTACTACTACTAAGTTATGTATTATTATAAATTTACAACTATTTAACATAATTTTAAATTTATCCGACGTTTCGCGTGCTTTACAGCGTGCGTGGTCACGGTGACTCCCGCACCAATCCGGTCAAAATAGTGTTTTATTAAGTCAAAATTAAGGAAACAGCAGGTGGTACATGGCAGAGACTGGCACGAGGCAGAGAGTGGCACAGTGCAGAGAGTGGCACAGTGCAGAGTGGCACAGTGCAGAGAGTAGCACAGTACAGAGAGTGGCACAGTGCAAAGAGGAATGGCGGGATATGGAGAAGGTCTTTGCCAAAAAATGGCACACAGATACCTGAAAGAAGGAGATAAAAAGGTGCTTTATTTGGTTATACTGGGTCTTGAGTTTTGAGTTTGAAGTGTTTTATACTAAACAAACAAGTAAAAATACGAATGTGAAAAAAAAAATTAAATATTAATTAAAGATTTGAGGAGAAAAAAACTACAGCATTTTTATTAAAATAGCTTCGTCCTTATTATAAACCGTTTAATCTTAAACGACACAAAGCCTTCTGTTCGTGACTTTATTGGCAATAGTCAGCGTTTTAGATGATTGATGGAAGGTCTTAACGATGCCTCTCAGCCCGAGAGTCAGCTGTCAAATTAATTATGATACCTTTGACATTCCACTTGTTCCCGCAAGGCAAGGATTTAATGGGGTATTATTATTCAATTAACAGGGACTTGTTTGTTAGCTGGAAATGATTCTTGCCGAAAGCCGATGTATACAGAGGCAAAATGTTGCTAATTCAACTGGTATTGGTTGTCAAAACCATGTTGTAAGCAAAGTGTACGTGAAATTGTATATTAGTGTTGTATATTGTATCTTAATTTTATTCTCTACTTTAAGGTTTTAATTTTAGAGCAAGCTTTTATTAAAGAAACCCCAAAGTGGACGAGTTGAATTGACATTTTTATCGTTCGAACTTTATTCGACTTCAAGTTCATTAAAAAGTGTTGATTTAAAAAATTCAGATACATTCACATCCGCCGACGTGTTTACACACGACTCGCACTTGACACGTTTTCACTTTCATGAAATTAAGCCTTTACTTTTCAGTGTCAAGAGTGTGACGTGGACATGATATTTGGGGCAAAATTTTTAACCTAGATCGGGTTTCGACATAAACACTGTTAAAGTGTCTCCTTTGAATAATTAGCATACTTTCAATGAATAATATTTTTATTTGTAAAATAATAGTCAATAAATATGTACTTCAGCAAGAAAAATGGACAAAACTTATCACAGAATGGTACCCTTTAGACGGAAAGAAACATAGAGGAAGACAGGCTAAGAGATGTGAGGATGACGTTAAGGAAATAGCGGGTTCAACATGGACTCGCACTGCAAAAATGAGAAAAGACTGGAGAGCTTTAGAGGAGGCCTTTGTCGGAAGACAAGTTGTAACCGAACTACCGTTTGCCGATAATCAATAGATAGTAAAATTGTTAGTATATTAGTTAAACTCTAGTTAATAGTCAAAATGTGTTTTTTTAGTAAGTAAATTTATTTTAGGCACACGAAACTACTCTGTGTAAAACTTGTTAACAACAATAAAGGCTTTTATTTTATTTTTATGTACTTCACGTTATAAAGAGAAAGTTTTATGAACTATATATATGCAATAATTCTATATAATTCCCTGCCAAAATAGGCCCCTAGTATAATTATATACAGTTATTTCTTATTTAACTGTATCTTATAAACACAGAGTTATGATTGCTTAACAGTTACGAACGACCAACTTTAAGCAGTGTAGAAATATTTAAGTTTTATGAACAAGGGGTTGATTTTAAATGAGTTTTACATGTTATGTTTTAAAGAACTACGTTTTTTATAGACAAATTCAAAAGCAAAATAATAAATATTACATAGACTTCTTTTTATTTCAAACTTATTTATTTGCCGCTTCAGCATTTTACGTAGATTGACCTTCGAAATTGGAGAACTGGGTGGTAGAGACATTATCAAAAGATTATCTCTAAATAAGAACGAAAACCTTATAACCAATAATATACTTACGTTGTACATTTCGCTGCGGTCGCAGTTGAAAAGCAAAGCGCCAATACTATCAATGCGTCGGCCATTTTGTTTACCCCTGTCAGCACATTGCCGGTTTCAACTCTGAAAGAAAAAAAAAATATTATGAATTAGTAGTTTCGAAATAATTAAAATTTAATAACCAATATATATGACTTTATGATTAACTTTTATTTGTGGCGTACCTAGCTAGTTTCGTTTTATTTAGAAAAAGGCTTTGTAAAATAATATATATCTGGATTTTTCATTCGAATAGTCCATTATTAAAGTTTATTTCACAAGTTAAACATCGCCAAATTGTTGAGAAACGCGGCATCACATCTCACAGTAGGCATCAAACGGAACAGCAACTTCGAAAGGACAGCACATGAATAAAACGATTTTAATTATCACAATTTTATGATTATTTAAAAAGTATAAAAGTGTTCCACGCACAAATACAACGTATAAATGTGTTACATTATAATACATATTACTTTCCGAAAACATAAACGCTTAGGAGATTTTAAAAGCAATATATTTTACTATATTTACCGGCGAAGTATCCATAACGCTATTAGCGCTTTGAACACAACATTCTAACTTAACATTAGGCATTACCAACTTCAAAGGGATCTCATGAAACATTTACACCAGAATATGGAGCTAAACCAACCAAGGGAAATATTTTAACGAAAAAAATATATCCTTTTTTCACGTAATGCGAAGGGAAACCAGTGTCGTACAAAGAAGGGCCCTTCAGAACCCTGAGAACCCTTACATACACCTAACAAAGGTGCTAACAGTTAGGCGAATGCTACACGCTCGATATTTATCGTGATATTTGGATCGTGATCCAAAATTACGATGTGTAGTACATGTGTATCACGATCCGTGATACGGATCGCTGGATTTCTAGAAATCTAAAAATCCACGATCCGTATCAATTATCGTCGATAAATATCGAGCGTCTAGTCTCTGCTCGATATTTATCGCGTCAGTATTTATTCTGCCAGCGATGGAAGAGGACGCGCATATATGGAGGCGGAATAATATAGAGAATTCATACTTGTATTAGAAACATTACCTATAAGTATAGGCTGATTTACACGTATTAAGTTGCCAAGTCTTAACTAAATTTTAAGTAACCGTTTACACGTAAAAATACTAAATAATTAGTTAAACTCATTTATTCGCTCAAGATGGACGACCACAGAACAAAATATTATAGGATTTTCTCTTCCTGATTGGGGATTTACTGTATTGTATGCTCCAATACATGATTGTGAAGGTTCTGGGGACTCAACGTAATACGTATTTGAAGAAGGCGAAGGAGTAAAACGGCTACTATTATTCATTGGGGAAGGGGTTCTACTACTGTTCATTAATTGTTGTATACGCATATCGGACAAATAGTTTTGGATATGTTTTTGAGCTTCCAGCGCCGAAAGCAAAAGCATAGCTTTGCAATGACTCCGCCAGCTTATGCTTTTCACTTAAATTTAACTAAATTTTGCCTGTCCAAACGTGTCAAGTGATTAGCCACGCCCACCAACTTAACCGAAAAATAGACAAAATTCTATTCTACCTTGTTTACTTGCAACTAAATTTTAACTTGCAACTTCTTGCTAGAAATTACCATTACACCATTACACCAAACGGTTGAGTGCCGGCGAGTCGAAATTCTACATCACATTCGGCTAATGACGTAAGTAAGACTACGACGCTTGTGATTTGCTACGTTACTACATAGCTGTTATACCTGCTACGATCAACTGGTGCGATTGTCTATTGTTGCTTTGCGATATTGAACTCTGGGTTCATTGAAGATATGCCCAATATCCAACACTCACCCCCTCGTAACACTTCTGTGATGTCTTGTTCCCGATCGGAGTCTGATCTTTCGAAGTCTCCGATGACGAGTGCGGGCTGTATTGCCAAGGGTGACACCAATATAACAACGCGCTCCAAGCGACAACGAATGGAGACCTCTTCCCCGAATGCTCATTCTAGTTCCGAAAGTAGCGACTTAAGAGCGGATGTCCTGAAAATGCTTTCTGAATGGAGAGAGGATCAAGAACGAAACCTATGTGAATGGAAGTCCACTCTAAATGACACCTTAAACAAATTATTTTCTGAATTATCCAATATAAAAACTGAATTCCAGGAAATAAAGAAGTCTAACTCAGAAATAGAAAAAGGAATAGAATTTATAAACAAGCTACAGGAGGAGACCAATGACAGAGTAAAGGAAATTGAAACTAACCAAAAAAATAATAAAAATGCCATAAAAAACTTAGAATCGCATATCCAGGATATACAGTTTCGTACAAGAGATGCATCTCTGGAGATCCGCAATATCCCGATTTCTGAAAATGAAAAGTTTGACAACTTACTCTCGACCCTTTCTGTCATCGGCAAAGCTGTGGATGTCGATATAAATAGGAGTGATGTACGTGACTTGTATCGGCTGCCGGGTAGACCGGGAGTATCAAGACCTGTTGTTGTTGAATTTACGAGTGTTAATGCTAAAAATGATTTATTGACTAAGCTGCGAAACTTTAACAAAGGAAGGCCGGTTTCTGAGAAGCTCAATACTCATACTATCGGGTTGCCAGGAATAAAGACTCCACTTTACATTGACGAACATCTAGGTCCATCTCAAAGAAAACTTATGTTTGAAACCCGTCAATTTGCCAAGAAACATAACTACTCGTGCTGGCATTCAAATGGAAGAATACTTTTGCGTAAGGATTCGACTGGTAGACCGATTTTAATCCAATCAGAAAAATGCTTATCTCAGCTGGCAAAGGAATCATGACTCATTGCATGTAACTGCTTTCTCATTAACCTATATTGCCAATTAACTGTATATTGTTATTTATTTCTATTGATTTACTTTAGTCTTGCTAGTAATAAAATTACCTTAGTCAATTTTTTCATGTTAAGTTCTCGTTTAGTCTATAATGTATTTTCGTTTGAATTTGTATTTGCTCTTGCACTTATTTTAACCTATACTCACACACTCACTGAAATTATACACCACTTACACTCAATATATACAAAGTGTACTCATAGAAAGAATGTAACTGTTAACAACAATCTCTGTCTGTCTTCGTGCCGTGTGTATGTGTATTGTGTTGGTCTCATTTGTGTGGCGTTGTCCCCGGGATTGTGGAATCCTCGTAGGGTTGTGCTGTACCGCGTGCCTTTTTGTCTTACCATAGTTGCGGACTCAATAAATAAAATTCGATAAAACTAATGCAATTATAAATGATATCGATAAACTTGATGTTGCACAATCTTCTCTTTTGTGACATAGAGGACTGCCGGAGACTTATGAACTGCCCGAATAAGTGTCTAAAAATTATCCATCAAAACATTCGTAGTATAAATCGTAACTTCTCTGATTTTCAAACCTTATTGTTTAGATCCAGGACTGATTGGGACTTAATAATCTTAACGGAATGTTGGCTGCATAATAATCGTAACTTACCATCTCTTGAGGGATACAACTCTGCTCTAACCGAGAAAAACTTCACACAGAATGAAGGAGTTGTAGTATTTTACAAAGAACATTTGAAATTAGTTATATCCGAGCCTGACCTTTGTGATGCCAACTGTTTACTGATTAACCTTGAGGATAATGTAACACTAATTGCAGTATATAGACCACCTGGTTACAAAGATGTTCAACGGTTTTTGGTATCTCTTGACAAACTTCTTTCTGAGATTAGTAGTACTCATAAAGTTCTGATAGGTGATATCAATATTGATATATTGGATAACAATAAGGATGTTAATTCTTCAACGTATTTGAATATGTTGGCTTCTCATGGTTTATTGCCAGCCCACTTATTTCCAACTCATGGCAGGACTTGTCTTGACCATGTAATACTAAAATGTTCTTATCGCGTCTTCTGTTATGTTGCTGAAACCTCAGTCACGGATCACGACACTTTAATTCTGAAACTTGAACGTAGCACTATGACTGACAAATACTCTTCTCTGAAAAAGATTGATTACCCGTCTTTGGACGATGCTATGAAGAACTTAAACCTAAGCCTTGTATATAAAATGACTGATCCCAATGAGGCAACAGCATTTCTTCTGACTGCGCTTGACACTGTAATTAAGGCAAATACGAAAACTTTAACCATCCCAAATCGTAAAAGGATCAAGAGGCCTTGGATGACTGCAGGTCTACTAAGATGTGTAAAGCATCGTGACAAACTACATCAAAAATCAAGAAAAAATCCTAGTAACGAAATATTAACGTTAACTTACAAGAGGTATAGAAATTTTTGCAACTCACTTTTAAAAAATATTAAAAATACTTATGAGAGAAACCGCCTACTTAAAGCTGCTAAGACTAATACAAAAGTTCTCTGGGACACTATCAAACAACTAACCTACTCCAACAATACAACTAGCACTGCACTTGAATTGGTCTCTCCACTGGACCCGATGGTCTCTGTCAACAACATTAATAAATATTTCGTTTCTATCGGGAAAGAGATTGCCGAAAAAGCATATTCTAGTAGCTCTTATAAAAAACCATCAATCAATCCTACACTGTCCTCATTCGTCATGCTACCTACTGATGTAGTTGAAGTTCAATCTCTTATCTTGCAACTGAAGAAGGACGGTGCTGCGGGTAGAGATAATATTTCTGGAGCCTTTCTCAAACGTTATCATGAAATCTTAGTCCCTCCACTTACATATATATTTAATTTGATTCTTTCTACAGGGATCTTTCCGGACCTATTCAAGCTAGCTGAAGTAATTCCGGTTTATAAAGGTGGTAATAGAGATTGTGTCGGTAACTACCGACCTATTTCTAAACTATCTACGCTATCCAAAATCATTGAGAAATTGATAAACAAACGCCTCATCGATTATTTAGAAAGTAATAACCTACTCTCCAGCTCACAGTTTGGATTCAGACCGGGTTCATCAACAAGCGACGCAGTTCATCAATTAACTGATCATATTGTTACAAAACTAGATAAGAAAAATAAAATTTTAGCTGTATTTTTGGACATTGCAAAAGCTTTTGACGCGGTCG